AAAAGTTATACGGTAATAAATTTAATACAAAGCAGAGAGCATAGACTTACTTTCAGTAATTTTGAGAATTTTTGTTTTCTCTCTAGTAAATTAGACACCTTCTTAAAATGATTTATTTTGTTCCAATATTACTTTTTTTTGGCTAAAAATAGTTTCAAACATACACTAACACAAACACACTACATAATTTATTTACACCTAAGATTTATCTTTAGACTAATAGATCTGTATATTTAATTCCATGTAAATCAATACTAAGAGTTCATATATGCTTGCAGCCAGAGGCCACATGTTCAAATAAAAATATATTAAAATTTTAAAAAATATTTATTCAGGACACAGAAATATATGGATTTTACTTGGGTTTGTATATAATTTTCATTATGACCATAAAAATGACCCTGTAGTCAATAACAACTTAATTGTACATTTAAAAGTAACTAAAACTGAAGAACTGAATTGCTTGTAATACAAAGAATAAATGCTAGAGGTAATGGATATGTCATTTCCTCTGATGTGATTATTACATATCACATGCCTGTATCAAAATATGCCATATATGGCATAAACATATACACATATTACATATCCACAAAAATTAAGAAAAATAAATTTGAATGTAAAAATAAGAATAAAATTTAACCTATAGGAACAGTATTTTTTAACTTATTGGCAATTTAAAGCCACTGGCAAAAAGATTACTAGAGATCTCAGTCCATTATCTTACCAAATAGTGTATTGTTACCATCTTTTACCTACACCACTGAATAAGGTGGAATAGGTTAAAGTTAGTGGCATAATGCTTCAATGAATTCACGATAGTATTTAACATGTTAAAAATGCTGAATTAAAAAGTTCACACATAATTTATAATTTTAAAATATAATGTATATTATTCCATAAAAGTACAATATTACTAACTTAATGTTAACTAAATAAGAAAGTTTTTCTTTCATAATGATGCAGAAAAATATTACTCTGAACACCTACCTCATGCATAACTCAATATTATGTTAACCCAAAGAGCCTCTTTACTTAAATTTTCATCATGTATCTTGCATTTTAAGGTCCTTACCTTTCCATAGAAAAGGTCATAAATAATGCCTACCTAATAAAAAAGAATCTCTCATATCTTTTATGCAGCAACAATTAGTCACGTTTTCACATGTGAATACACTAGGAATGGTGAAACAGCATGAAGTAATTTAAGAGTTTAACTCCATTATTATTCGCTTTTAAAAAATTCTGTATTTTCAAAAAAAATGTATACTTTGAATGTAATTATAACTCTCCAAAAAAATTCTACTTCTTTTAAAGTTATACATAATTAATGTTTACACGAACTTTAGTTTGTATTATTTCCTACACTCAGCACTCTGATTTAGTGTAATGTCTAAAGTTTGAGTGCCCTAGATATTTCTACCGTGAATTATTCCCTGATATTTACATAGACTTAATTTTGGATTGAACATCTTTCATATTTAATGCATCTGCAAAAATATATTTTAGTATGAACTCTTTGGTGTTTTATAATTTGTAGTTTTTGAAAAAATGTTTTTCCAAATTCAGCATATTTGTAGGGTTTTCTTCAATATAAACTCCCTGATACTGAACAAAATTTTAATAACTGCCTCAGGGTTTTCCTCTAGTACAAAATGTGTACAATGAGCTCTGTGATACAAGTAAAGGTATTACAACCCTCTTCATATTTGTAATGCTTTTTCAAAATAAATACTCTTCTGCACTTTAAAGACATACGTTCTTATCTTTTGATGGTAATTAGACTTTTAATGCTTTTATTTAGTATGAACTCTTTGATTTTGAGTAAGATGTGAGCAGGTATTAATGGTTTTTTTACTTTGTCTGTATTTGTACATTTGTTTTCAAATATAAACGCTTTCTGGTGCAATAAGCTGTAAGCATTGGTTAGAAGCTTGGCCACATTGTTCACAGTGGTAGTTTTTTCCAGTATGAATTATCTTACCCACAATCAATTGTTGACAATCATTTAAAGTCTTTGTCACATTCTTCACATTTCTAGGATTTGTCAGGAGCATGATTTTCTTTGTTTAGAAAAGTTTGAGGTGCTGTCAAAAGCATTGGCACATCTTTCAGATCTGCAGTTTGTCTTCAGTATGAATAATCTTATATCTGTTAAGAATTGAGGACTTTTTTAGACTTTCCATATTATTCACACTTGTAAGATTTCTCTCCAATATGAGTTATCTTATCTGTAGTGAGATGTAAGGACTGGTTAAAGGCTTTGCCAATTTTTTCCCATTTGTAGGGTTGCTGTCCAGCATGAATTTTTTTATGTTTAGTTAGGGCTGAGGACTAGAAAAACACTTTGCCACATTCTTCACATTTGTAGGGTTTTACTCCAGTATGAAATTATCTTATGTTTAATAAAGGTTGAAGACAGGTTAAAAGATTTCCCACATTTCTTCAGATTTGCAGGGTTTCTCTCCAGTTTGAATTCTCTTATGGTTACTCAGGATTGAAGACTGCTTAAAGGCTTTGCCACATTTTTCACATTTTTAAGGTTTCTCTTCAGTATGAATTATGTTTAGTAAGAGTTGAGGAACATTTAAAGGCTTTGCCACATTTTTCACATTTGTAAGGTTTCTCTCCAGTGTGCATCCTCTTACGTCTACTTAGGGGTGAGGATCATATGCTTTGCCACATTCTTCACATTTGTAGGGGTTATTTGCAGTATGAATTATCTTATGTGTAGTAAGATTTGAGAATCGATTAAAAGCTTTCCCATATTCTTCACACTTGTAAGGTTCCTCTCCAGTGTGAATTATCTAATGTTTAGTAAGATTTGAGGATTAAAAGCTTTTTCACATTCTTCACATTTGTAGGGTTTCTCTCCAGTGTGCATCCTCTTATGTTTAGCGTTGAGGACCATATACATGCTTTGCCACATTCTTCACATTTGTAGGGTTTCTCTCTAGTATGAATTATCTCATGTTCAGTAAGGGTTGAGAAACTTATAAATGCTTTCCCACATGCTTTACCCTTTTTAAGGTTTCTCTCAAGTATGAATTCTCTTATGCTTAAAAAGGGTTGAGGACCAGATAAATGATTTACCACATTTGTCACACTTGTAAGGTTTCTCTCCATTATGAATTATCTTATGCGTAGCAAGATTTGAGGATCGATTAAACGCTTTGCCACATTCTTCACACTTGTAAGGTTTCTCTCCAGTATGAATTATCTTATGTGTACTAAGATTTGAGGATTGACTAAAAGCTTTGCCACATTCTTCACATTTGTAGGGTTTCTCTCCAGTGTGAATCCTCTTATGTTTAGATAGGGTTGAGGACAATATAAAAGCTTTGCCACATTCTTCACATTTGTAGGGTTTCTCTCCAGTATGAATTATCTTATGTGCAGTAAGGGTTGAGGATTGGCTAAAAGCTTTGCCACATTCTTCACATGTGTAGGGTTTCTCTCCAGTGTGCATTCTCTTATGTGTAGTTAGGGCTGAGGATCGGCTAAATGCTTTACCACATTCTTCACATTTGTAGGGTTTCTCTCTAGTATGAATTTTCTTATGTTCAGTAAGGTTTGAGGACCATATAAATGCTTTGCCACATTCTTCACACTTGTAAGGCTTCTCTCCAGTATGAATTATCTTATGTTTAGTAAGATTTGAGGATCGATGAAAAGCTTTGCCACATTCTTCACATTTGAAGGGTTTCTCTCCAGTGTGAATCCTTTTATGTTTACTTAGGGTTGAGGGCCATATAAATGCCTTATCACATTCTTCACATTTGTAGGGTTTCTCTCCGGTATGAATTATCCTATGTGTAGTAAGGTGTCCGAACTGTCTAAAAGCTTTGGCACATTCTTCACATTTGTAGGGTTTCTCTCCCGTGTGCAGCCTCTTATGTCTAGTTAGGGTTGAGGACCATACAAATGCTTTGCCACATTCTTCACATTTGTAGGGTTTCTCTCCAATGTGCATCCTCTTATGTATGGTTAGGGCTGAGGGTTGGCTAAATGCTTTACCACATTCTTCACATTTGCAGGGTTTCTCTCCAGTGTGTATCCTCTTATGTATGGTTAGTGTGGAGGATTGGCTAAATGCTTTGCCACATTCTTCACACTTGTAAGGTTTCTCTGCAGTATGAGTTATCTTATGTGTAGCATAATTTGAGGATCGATTAAAAGCTCTGCCATATTCTTCACATTTGTAGGGCTTTTCTTCAGTATGAGGCTTCTTATGATTAGTAAGAGTTGAGGACCAATTAAAGGTTTTTCTACATTCTTTACATTTGTATGGCTTCTCTGTAGTATAAATGCTTTTATGGTGGGTTTTGTGTGAAAGCATGCAAAATGATTTGACACAATTTTTACATTTGAAAGGTTTCTTTCTAGTATGTCTTATCTTATATCTGTTTAAATTTATAAATTTATAAAAGACTTTCATATATTTACCACATTGAGATACTTTGCCCTGGGTAGTTGTGAAACACTGGTTAAGTCCATTATAGCCTTCTTTGTGTACCTTACACTCATCCACACTTTTACAACCTTTTCTTAACTGTAAGTTCTCATGTCCACATTTTTCAAATCTTCTTAGTATTACTTTTTGAAAAGAATCTTCCATGCCCTGCTCTGGCCAAATGTCTTGAGCAA